GGGCCGGGCGGGCGGTGCGAGGGGCGGTGGCCCCCGCGCCCAGCTCAGCAGAGGTGCTGCCCCGGGACGTGCTTGTTTTCTCTCTAGAATTGAATTAATACAGTCACAGAATGGTTTGGGTTGGAAGGGACCTTAAAGATCAGGTAGATCCAACCCCCCGGCATGGGCGGGAACACCTCCCGCTGACCAGGCTGCTCAGAGCCCCATCCAGCCTGGCCTTGCACACTTCCAGGGAGTGGGCTTCCATAGCTCCCCTGGGCAACCTCATCCAGTGTCTCACCACCTAATGTTTAATCTAAATCTCCCCTCTTCAAATTTTAAACCATTACACCTTGTCCTCTCGCTACATGACCTTCTGAAAAGCCCCTCCCCAGCTTTCCTGTAGCCCCTTCAGGTACTGGAAGGTGCTGTAAGGCCCCAGAGCCTCCTCTTCTCTAGGCTGGACAGCCCCAACTTTCTCAGCCTGTCTTCATAGGAGAGATGCTCCAGCCTTCTGTGGCCCTCCTATGGACTTGCTGCAACAGCTGTATGTCCTGCCTGTGTTAGGGGCCTCAGAACTTTAAACCTCCCCTGGCAGAACTGGAGGCCATTAAGTGGGAGAAGGGACTGACCCCTACAATTACCTGAGAGAAGGTTGTAGCAAGGCATGTGGTGGTCTCTTCTCCCAAGTAAAAAGTGATAGAACAAGGGGAAATGGCCTTGAGTTATGCCAGGGGAGGCTTAGATTGGATATTAGGAAAAATGTCTTCACCAAAAGGGTTATCAAGCATTGGAACAGGCTGCCCAGGAAGTGGTGGAGTTACCATCCCTGGAGGTATTGAACAGATGGGTAGATTTTGTGCTTAGGCATGTGGTTTAGTGGTGGACTTGGCAATGCTAAGTTAATGGTTTGACTAGATGATCTTTTCCAACAAAAATGGTTCTATAATTCTGTTATTAGGGCCTTTTATGATAGGGCAAGGGGTAATGGTTTCAAACTAAAAGAGACTAGATTTAGACTAGATATAAAGGAGAGTTTTTTTACAGTGAGTGTGGTGAAACACTGGAACATTTCCCAGAGAGGTGGTAGATGCCCCATTCCTGGGAAAATTCAAGGTCTGGTTGGACAGTGCTCTGGGCAACCTCACCTAGCTGAAGATGTTCCTGCTCATTGCAGGGGCGTTGGACTAGGTGACTAGATGACTAAAACAGCATTGGAGTCTCCAATTTGATTGGGTTACCTTGTGCACCTGACTAAAAATTACTTCCGTCATTGTATAGTCTGCATCTTTGCCTCTCTCCTTGGTTGAGACATGCCAGTTGTGAAATTGTTGTGACAATTTCCACGGCTGTGACTTGTGTCTGCTGCCTCTCACCTTTGACTCCACAGCTCCAGCATCACCTCCCAGTAGGTACTGGACAGCAGGGAAACTCTTCTTCTTCATGCTGAGCAGACCCAGGTCTCATCATCTCCACCTATACAAAATTCAGAAAGCATGAACAACACCAGAATTAGTGGGCTATTTTTTTTCCCATCTGATTAGGTAGAAACAAGACAGATAAATTATTGGAGGCTGGTGTAATTCCCGGTTTACTTTGCTTGGTTTTATCTTTTCAGTGATTGTAGCGATTCATGTAATACCCCTTCTCGCAGCAGCTATTATGCGCCACATCTGCATCTTAATTCAACAGCCACAATAATCTCAGGATGCTTACTTCATTGGCAAGCTGACAAAAATGTTGTGAAGTGTGAGCCCTGCTGGATTTTCCTGTCATCCTCTTCCAGCTGGGTCTCAGATGCTTTATCTCAAGATCCCCAAAACTCAACACAAGAACACTATCAGAAATCAAGAACTTTTGATACTTTCACAGTATCCTTCTGGACAAAATGTCCAGCACACAGCTAGACAAGTCCATAACATGCTGGGTGAGCAATTGGCTGATGTGTTGGGCTCAAAGAGTTATAGTACATGGGGTTATGTCAAGCTGGCAGTCAGTCACCAGTGGGGTTCCCTAGGGCTCAAATTTAGGGCCAGTGCTCTTTCATGTTTTTGTAGAGTATCTGGACACTGGAATTGAATGTACATTAAGTTAGTTTGTTAATAATACTGACCTCGGAGGAGTTATGGACTCCCTTGAGGGTAACAAGGTTTTATAGAGAGATCTGGATAGACTAGAGAGCTGGACAATCACCAACCATATGAATCACAGAATCACAGAATCCTGGGGCTTGGAAGGGACCTTGAAATATCATCTAGTCCAATCCCCCTGCTAGAGCAGGGTCACCTAGAGCACATCACACAGGAACACGTCCAGGTGGGTTTTGAATGACTCCAGGACCTCTCTGGGCAGCCTGTTCCAGTGCTCTGTCACTCTCACAGTAAAGAAGTGTTTTCTGATATTTACATGGAACCTCCTGTGTTCCAGTTTGCACCCATTGCCCCTTGTCCTATCATAGACATCACTGAAAAAAGCCTGGCTCCATCGTCCTGGCACTCGCCCTTAACATATTTGTAATCATTGATGAGGTTGCCCCTCAGTCTCCTCTTCTCCAAGCTAAAGACACCCAGCTCCCTCAGCCTTTCCTCATAAGGGAGATGTTCCACTCCCTTAATCATCTTTGTGGCTCTGCACTGGACTCTTTCAAGCAGTTCCCTGCCCTTCTGAACTGAGGGGCCCAGAACTGGACAAAATACTCCAGATGCGGCCTCACCAAGGCAGAATAGAAGGGGAAGAGAACCTCTCTTGACCTACTAACCACACCCTTTCTAATTCACCCCAGGATGCCATTGGCCTTCTTGGCCACAAGGGCACATTGCTGGCTCATGGTCATCCTCCTGTCCACCAGGACCCCCAGGTCCCTTTCTCCTACACTGCTCTCCAGCAGGTCAGCCCTATCAGAGTGTGTCCAGAGGTAACCAAGATGTTGAAAGGCCTTGAGGGCAAGACTCACTAGGAGCACTTTGTTCAGCTCACAGAAGAGAAGGCTGCGGTGTGCCCTCATCGCACTCTACAACTTCCTCACAGGGGGCAGAGGAGGGGTGGGTGCTGGTGACCAGTCATAGAACACAAGGAAGTGGAATGAAGCCTTTTCAGGGCAAGTTGAGACTGGTCACTAGGAAAAGGTTCTTTACTGAGAGGGTGGTTGGTCACTGGAACAGGCTCCCCAGGGAAGTGGTCATGACACCAACCTGTTAGAGTTCAAGGAATGTCTGGATGACACTCTTAGTCATATGGTTTAGTTTTAGATAGTCCTGTGAGGAATAGGGAGCTGGACTCAATGGTCCTTATGGGTCCCTTTTAACTTGTCATATTCTATGATTCTGTAAAATAAAAAAGGCACAATAATTTCCCAAAATGGTAGCAGAGTTGTGATATTCCCATCAACCAGACAAAACGTTTCTCCATGAAGCTCAGCTTCTGTGGCTCTGCAGGGCCACTTCGGGAAGGCTTTGGTGTGCCTGCCCTTTCCACACTGTCAGAAAACACAGTTTGAGGTCTTGGTATTGCAGCAAGGTTTTAAATGTCTACAAATGCCATATTGGTATGTAAAGCACCTTCACTAAAAGATCCACACCTATTTCACCCCAAAGACTTCTGTGGTACTTAGCCATTTCATGCAGACATCTAAAAACCCCATGACACTTCTGAAGAAAAGCCTATTTACCTGCTATCAATGTTCACAATTAATTTTGCAGCCAAGGTTTTTCCTGATTCAACTGCCATTTATTTGGTGATTGTCTCCCTCTTCATGGAGAACAGGAAGGAGGATTTCATCCCCTTCCCGCCTTCCCCTGCTAAGCTGTTTCGTGCAGCTTTACCTGCAGTGACTCTGCTACACTCAGCAAAGGGCTGGGCAGGCACAGACTGTAAGCTCCAGGGGTCTCAGAGACATCAAGGAGCCTTCCTGGAGAGCCAGAGGAGTATGAGGTGGAAGGGGAAGCAGGTGCAGCTGGCACTGCATGGGAGGAAGGCTGTGCAGAGAGCGAGGGCTTCGTGGGAGGCCAATGAGAGAGCCTGGAGCACCAGCAGGACACAGTGAACAGCCTTGTCTTGCTGAAACTAAAAATGAATTATTGTTTCAGAACATTCAAATGACAGAAAACAGGTGTGTGGAGTGTTAAAAGTATAAATATGCATAGGCACAGGCACATGCGCACACCACATATATAAATTTCCTGAACAGGACATTTAAAATAATCTTGTTTTAAAAAGTGATGTCTATTGTGCCCATACCATAGCCCTGCATAAAAACGAAATCCTCTCTCTTCTTAGAGAAGAAAAACAGCATTGAAATAGAGCTCCAAAGAAGGAGAAATAACAATGAAATGTGCAATCTGTTGCTTTGCTTCAAATTCCAGTTCATAGGCTCAGGTGATTTTTTAAGTAGACTTGCAGGTGCATCCTTTTAAATCATGCCACAACTAAATGCATTCAACTGCATATGAGTGATTGTGCTATCAGATACCCACAGGTAAAATGGCATTTCAGATGGGTAACACAATCAAGGAAGCACTCAGACAGCATGTCAATGGGCACGATATAAAAATTGGAATGGGTAAGTGAGGTGCAAAGGATATCCCATGTCTTTAAACAGTCACAAAGGTGACTGCACTGAGTGTGCAGGGAAACATGCGTGTCCCCTGCGTCACCACATGTACCCCAGGGCAGACACGTACAATGGTGCATGTGATCCTCCAAGTGGACATTACATGGAAAACATTCTGATTCCCAAGTGAGTACAGCTCAGACATCTTGTCACTTTGATGTATTACATTAAGACCATAATTTCTGCTAACACAAT